TTTTSATGAATGTATCCATGTTTGCAGAAATGAAGCTTGACCTCAAGAAATGTCTTTATTAATCTTTAACTAGGGTCCAGCTAAATGATCTCCTAATACCATAAAACAATTTTGTGTAGAGTGCTCGCACTAAATGCATGAAATATAAATACTACAAAATAGGTGATAAGTTATACAAATTCCTTTGTTTTCTATATTGTATAATCAACACTATTTAGTAGTAATTAGTACTATTTGTTTCACGCTTTAAATGCGAGCACTCTATGTCTGTGTGACCAAATGACATGGCACTCTAAACATGTTGAATACTGGTTTCTTTTACTAACTCTGTTTTAATTAACATTGTTAGCAACAGTTCAATGGCCTGAGTTTAGCATTATATACAAGACATAATTTTGAAGAAAAGTGCATTTTTATGGCTCCTGTGGCACTAGATGACAATATTTTTCTTTGCTTTCATTGAATATACATGTAACAGCAATCATCCATTTAAAGTAAATTAAACCACAGTTAATCAATTACTATGATTAAACATAAATTATAATTATATCTTAATAACCTTTTCTGGTTCCTCAGAATCCTCTGCGCTGTCATCAGGACTTGAATAACAAAGGCATTTTTAGTAAATAAATAATAATCATGATAAAAACGTCTRCACAATCACGATCATGATGATGATTACTTATTGAAAATAATCAAAGAATTTGATTGGCAAAAACTGTAGATGAGATTGTTATTCCATATCTTAAGGAATATTCAAAAAAGGAATACAATTTTTTGATATACTAACATTCCATGACATTTAATTTTATGTGCCAAAATCATGCAAAAAACATTTGAAGGTTTCCCAAAAGAAAAAAATTCAAAAAACTATATTAAATGAATCATTTCCAATAAGTAATATAAATCATTGTTTCACAATCACTGTGGCAAGAAAATAACTTTCCCTACAATAAATGCTATTAAGAATTATTTATTTAGCTATTATTTAACTATTTTTTAGATTATTAACATAAAACATGCCTGCAGTTTACGCTCTTGGCACAGCACTCCAACCATTAGGCTTATTATTTATCTATTTTATGCATAAATTATTAACTTTAATAATAAGAATCATTTTTTTGATTAGAGAAGATGAATTCTTTATAGTTGACATATAATGGTTAATGGAGGTATGTATGGATATTTTATAGTTGACATATAATGGTTAATGGAGGTATGTATGGATATTTTATGTACAATTTTATGAAGAGATTGATATCTACATGATTATAACATTAATAGTTTAAGTCATAGAGTGCAAATAATATATCCATGCAACACTAAATAAAAATAGTGAAATTTAGTATAATTAGTGAAAAATAGTGGAAGCGTGAATATACTAAATTTTGTGTGCACATGCAATATCCGACGTGCGAATTACGCATCAATAGTCACATACAAAGGTATCAAGACGAGGCGCCGTGCTTTTTTGAGAAAAATATATTGTCTTTAGCACGGCGCCTCGTCTTGATTCCTTTGTATGTGACTATTGATGCGTAATTCGCAAGTCGGCTATTAGTTGAGCAACGCCTTACAGTACAATACGCTTTCACCGTCCAGTGACCCCACTAAATTAATCATTTGTACTAATTTTAAATTAGTAATTTTAGTTTTTTGGTAAGTATTGCATGGATAATTGCTTGCACTCTAGTACAAAGTGGTAAAAACTTGTGCATTAATTAAATATGATATACTTTAACAATGTAGGATGTTGTTAACATGCTTATTTTAACATTTATTAATTATAAGATTTATAAGAATGTAAAATTGGATATTAATTATAAGTGGATAAGTCAGTGTAGGAAAAAGGCGTTGACTTTGAATACAATTTAGGCATAAGAATTGAAGAATTTGTAACCTTGGTTAAAGAGTCTTATTAAGCCAGAAACATTGCAGTAAATCTGGAGCTCCAACAAAAGGACGAGCTACAAGGAAGACTATTGCACTACATTATAGATTATCATTGTAACCAAAATGTTTATAATTAATTTTAAATAATCAATTTAGCAAAAAGAAAAGACAATTATTCATTTTTTAAAAGGCAAATTACCATATTTTCRAATTTCTTGAAGATTAYGATTACCTATTTTGACCTATTTTCATGCTTTGGATGAAATAAATCACTTTTCATTGGAAAAATAGATTTTGCAGTAGAATCCTGCAGCATACTGACTTACTCATTATGACTAAGGAAATCAAGCAATGATATTTCCTCATTTGTTCCTGCTTTTTGACCATTAGTTGCTCTTTCATCCCTGATAAGCATTGGGGAAATCTTACAAAGGACTGCACAATATTTTTGAAAATCTTTTCACACAATTATAAAGAATGATGAGGTATTATTCCATAAGGAATAATAATATGAGTATGAGTATGTAATATTAAAATTTATCATATATAATTTGCTATGAAATACTTATATTTCTCTCTTTTGAATGCTTGATATTTTCACTGAGTGAAAATAACACATTTGTAGTACCTCCTTTATATTGCAGTTATTTAAAAAAATTCTTTTAAAAGAGAATTTGCTTAATTCATGGATAATCATATATGATAAACAGAATATTATATGGTTATGTAAAAAGATAAATTTAACAACCGTAAAAAAGTATGTGAAATAACTTACTGACGTTTCGGACGTTAATCCGACGGAGGATTAACGTCCGAAACGTCAGTAAGTTATTTCACATACTTTTTTACGGTGTTAAATTTATCTTTTTACATATTAACTGTTTCTTTAGAAACACCGACGCAGCTCACACTAGTTTACCGCTAGTTCCCACCAGAATATTATTTGGTCCCTTGGGAGAAACTGATTTTATCTTCTCATTTTGAATAACTCTCACTTATAGCTACATGAGAGATCTTTTCAAAACATTCAAAGATAAAATCCATACAGTATGTCTGAGCACCCATGTAATATCCTCTATTAAWATWTCTTTAACATTGTTACRTSTAATGAGGCATTATTATTATTAGTTAGGTTAGTGAGTTATTATTATGTCAAGTTATAATTATAATAATYTCATACTGTCTAGTAATATACAGCCAGCAGTAAGTTGTACTTTATAACATGTCTGTCAAACTRCTATTGGCAAAAAAGGATTCAAAGAAGTTCAAAATTATTGAAGACTTTAGTTTTGACATGGAATGTTTGCCGTCTTATTACAGCCACAAAATTATTTAAAAGTGAATTTAAAAGCAAAAACCTCAATCAATTTTGAAGCAATCAGAAAGCAACTGTCAAGAACAATTAGATCTTTTGTAATAAAACAAAAGCAAGTGACTGATTATATATAGCTTCTTGGCTRCAAGGAATCCTTTAAGGTATCAAACAAATCAAGTTAATGTCACAAATAATTGAAGTTTTGTTTTATATTCATTTGATACATTGTAGATCTTTTTGACATCTACAGTAACTTGAAATATTTTGGAAAATTACAAAAATTATTGTGCTCTTGGTAAGTATTTTATTGATTCTGTCAATGAATGGGATAAGAGACTCTTATCTAGCACAAAGGTCATAAATGTGTGTTTAATTGGCACATTGGAATTGCAGAGAGCTGCGCTTGCATTCACAGATAATCATCGTCCATAGTTATCTATCAATGCCAGCTCTCTGGCAGTCTTGCTTTAGAGCAAAAGTATGGTTAGTAGCTACCTTCACGATTCAGGCAACAAAGTCTATTGGAAATGAGTATTGATCATCAATAATTTTGGCCCATACAGCTGTAGGACTACTTCATCTATTTGATGTCAAGTACCGATATCTTTTGGAGCATAATGCCGCTAATGTTAGCATTAAAATGGATGATATGAGGTGTGGATAGCACTAAATCACTGGTTAATAATCATTACTGTGTAAAGTGCTTAAGTTTGAATTAACAATGATTAGTAGAATACATCAATTGAATTCATTAAGAATTACATTAGCAYATTAATCAAATGTTCATCAACTTTTAAAATTAGTTTGTTATGGGTTAAGGAAAATTATCACACTTTAGATTGTTACAATACACCTT